GGACACATGGGGGTATGGGAGGGATAGGGGGACATGGGAGGGACACTGGGGAACAGCAGGGACATGGGGGGGACACGGGAGGGACATGGGGGGACATGAGGGGGACACAGAAGGGACATTGGGGTGGGGGGGACAGTGGGGTCAAGGGAGGTCACAGGGGACACAGGAAGTTCTCAGGGGTCACGGGGAGGTCACAGAGGGGTCACAGGGGTCACGGGAAGGTCACCAGGGGTCATAGGGGACACTGTGTGACCCTCCTGTCCCCCCCCCCAGGGTCGGGGGTCCCAAGGAGGAGCCCGGGGATGGCACCAACGAAAAGAAGGAAACGCCCGTCACAGGTGAGGGGCGGGGCTTGGCATTGATTGACAGGGGGGTGGGGCAGTGATTGACAGGTGGGCAGGGCAGTGTTGGGCAGGTGGGTGGGGCAGGGCAGTGATTGACAGGTGGGTGTGACAATGGCAGGTGGGTGGGGCAGGGCATGACAGTGATCGACAGGTGGGGTGGGGCTTGGCAGTGATTGACAGGTGGGCAGGGCGGAGCTTGGCAGTGACTGAGAGGTGGGCGGGGCAGGGTTGGCGCTGCTGATTGGCTGTTGACAGTGATGTAACCGTGTCCTCCTCATGTCCCCCCCCTGTCCCATGTCCCGCCCATGTCCCCTCTGTGTCCCTTCCATGTCCCCATGTCCATGATGTCCCCCTTGTCCATCCCTGTGTCCCCATGTCCCCCCATGTCCCCCATGTCCTCATGTCCTCATGTCCCCCGTGTCCATCCCTGTGTCCCCATGTCCTCCCATGTCCCTGTGTCCATGATGTCCCCTTGTCCATCCCCGTGTCCCCATGTCCCCCATGTCCCTGTATCCTCCCCGTGTCCCCCCTGTGTCCCCCATGTCCCCATGTCCCCCGTGTCCATCCCTGTGTCCCCATGTCCTCCCATGTCCCTGTGTCCATGATGTCCCCTTGTCCATCCCCGTGTCCCCCCCATGTCCCTGTGTCCCCCCCATGTCCATCCCCGTGTCCCCATGTCCCCCATGTCCCCATGTCCTCCCCATGTCCCCCATGTCCCTGTGTCCCCCCCCATGTCCATCCCTGTATCCCCGTGTCCCCCATGTCCCCTCCTTGTCCCCATGTCCCTGTATCCCCCCCCGTGTCCCCGTGTCCCCCCCATGTCCCCATGTCCCCTCTGTGTCCCTCCATGTCCCCGTGTCCCTGTGTCCATGATGTCCCCATGTCCATCCCCATGTCCCCCGTGTCCCCCCCATGTCCCCATGTCCCCCCCATGTCCCCGCGGTGTCCCCGCAGTGTCACAGCCCAAGCGCTTCCCGGCCGTGCGGACCCCCAAGGACATCACATCCGAGAGCTCCTTCTCCAGGTGGGGACAGGGGACAGGGGACACCAGGACAGGGGACACCACAGGGTGGCCCTGTCCCTGCTGGGGTGGCCCTGTCCCCACACTGTCACTGGGAGGGGGGGTGGCCCTGTCCCCATGTCCCTGTCCCTGTCCCCAAGGGATGTCCCCAGGTCATGTCCCTGTCCCCGGGAGATGTCCCTGTCCCCATGGGGGGTGTCCCTGTCCCCAGGGGCTGTCCCTGGGGGATGTCCCCATGCTGTCCCCATGTCCCCAGGGGGGTGTCCCCATGTCCCTGTCCCCAGGTGGGTGTCCCTGTCCCCAAGGGCTGTCCCCATGTCCCCGTCCCCGGGAGATGTCACTGTCCCCATGTCCCCAGGGCTGTCCCCCTGTCCCTGTCCCCATGTCCCTGTCCCAAGGGCTATCCCCATGTCCCCAAGGGCTGTCCCCATGTCCCCAGGGGTGTCCCCAGGGCTGTCCCCATGTCCCCATGTCCCTGTCCCCCAGGGCTGTCCCCCTGTCTCTGTCCCTGTCCCCATGTTCATGTCCCCGTGTCCCCAGGGGCTGTCCCCATGTCCCCAGGGCTGTCCCCAGGGCTGTCCCCATGTCCCCATCACTGTCCCCAGGGCTGTCCCCCTGTCCCCAAGGGCTGTCCCCATGTCCCTGTCCCTGTCCCCGTCACTGTCCCCATGTCCCTGTCACTGTCCCAAGGGCTGTCCCCGTGTCCCCATGTCCCCATGTCCCCGTCACTGTCCCCATGCTGTCCCCATGTCCCCAGGTTGCTCTTCTGCTGCTGGTTCCCGTGGATGCTCCGGGCCGAGATGCAATCCTAACCCCGCCCCTCCCCCACCCTCCCCCACCCCCGCCCCTCCCCCACCCAGTGCCTTGGTGCCCCTCCCCCACGCGGGGAGACGTCATGTGACCCCCCCCTGTCCCCTCCCCCACACCCCCCCCCCCGGACCCCCCCCCGTCCCCTCCCCCCCCCTCCCTTCTGGAACCTTCCACACTGGGGGGGGGGGGGGCGGGGCTTGGGGTGTGGCCCCTCCCCCGATTTTGGGGCCAAATCTGCCGAAAACAGCGACGGGGGAGGGGCCAGACCACCAAAATTCCGAATTTTTGGCCCCAAATTTACTGATAACAGCGATGGGGGAGGGGCCAGACCCCCCCCAAATTCGAATTTTGGGGCCAAATCTGCCAAAAACAGCAATGGGGATAAACGACCACCCCCCCCCACCAGATTTTGGGGTGTTCACTCTGGAATCAATTAATTCATTAACTAATTAATGAATAATTAATTAATTAAGGGGGGTTGAGGCCACGTTTGGAGCTCCCAAATCCCAATTTTGGGGCAATTTTAGGACTTTCTCGATTATTTTTGGGGAAAAAATATTTTTTTTTGGGAAATCACCCCTAATTTTTGGGGCTGTTCCCTCCGGAATGAATTAATTAACTAATTAATTTAATTAACGTCGGGAATGGATGAAAAAAATTCCCAGAATTAATTTTTTTGCGGGGGGAGGGGTGTCCCAAAATCTCGATTTTTTGGGGTTATTTTTGTATTTTTTGGTGGTTTTTTTTTTTGTATTTTTGGGGTGTTTTTTTTTTTTTTTTTTGTTCCCTTTCCCGAGACCCCTCCCCAAAAAAAGGCCCCGAAGTGGGGGAGGGGTCCCAGAGGGTCCCTCCTGGCCGCCCCTCCCCCCCCCCCGCAGTAGCAATAAGGCCCCTCCCCCACCCCGCGCTCGTGTCAGTGGCTTTAATGTCCCCAAAATGTCCCAAAATGTCCCCAAAAATGTCCCCCCCCCCCCGCTGCCGCATGGGCCCCCCCGGAGCCGCTTCTGCCACCAATAAAATCCTTTGTACCGGAAAAATGGGGGAAAAAACGGGGGGAAATGGGAAAAATGGGGGAAAAATATTGAAAAAAAATGGGCGGAAATTGCGGGGAAAAATGGGAATAAAATGGGAGAAAAATGGGGAATAAATGGGGGGAAAAATCGGAAATAATGGGGGGAAAATGGGAAAAATAGGGGAAAAAAATATTGAAAAAAACGGGCGGAAATTGCGGGGAAAAATGGGAATAAAATGGGAGAAAAATGGGGAATAAATGGGGGGAGAAATGGGAAAAACGGGAAAAATGAGAGAAAATTGGGACAAATAATGGGGCAAATGGGGGAAAAAAGGAATTTTTGGGGCTAAAAATTGGGATTTGGGGAGGGGGAATAAATGAGATTTTGGTTGGGACGAGGAGGGAACCTAAAACTGGGGGAGGGGACCCCAAAAATTCCCCCCCCTCCCAGCGCCGCCATCTTGTCCCGGCGCGCGGTGATGACGTCACACCCAACGTTAAATAATAGTCATCCCTAATCAGCATAACCACGCCCCTATATGGGGTGAATCGAGCTGTCACTCACGCTGTTGGCCACGCCCACTCCGTTGGACGGGTGCTGCTGTCACTCCATGCAGTAGCCACGCCCCCAAATTTGACCACGCCCACAGCTGGTCGAGCCAACAGTTCTAAGCCACGCCTCCAAAATAAACCACGCCTCCTATGGAGTATCCTAACGGTTCAAAAGCCACGCCCCCGATGTTGGTCACGCCCTCTATGAGCTCAATTAACGGTGCTAAGCCACGCCCCCATTTCGGCCGTGCCCAGGGCGTGTCCCCCACCCAGGCCACGCCCCCGGGCGGTTCCCGCCCTCCCCGCGTTGCCCCGCCCCTTTCCCCGTTCCGGTTCCGAACTCGCCCCGGGCCGGCGCCGCTCCCGCAGGTACCGAACCCCCCCCCAGACCCTCGGGACCCCCCCGGGACCCCCCCGGGACCCCCCCGGGACCCTCCCGGTGCTCCCCTCCCCCCCCACCCAAACCGTGACTCAGCGCGGCCCCGCCCAGTCCCGGAAATTGGCGCCGAACCGGGACCGGAGCGGGACCGGAGCGGGACCGGAGCACGGGGGGGGTCCCGGGGAGGGGTCCCGGGAGGGTCTGGGGGGGTTTGGGGGTCCCCGGAACCCCCCGGTATCGCCTAACGGGGCCGTCTCCTTCTCTTGCAGCCGCTCCCAGCGCTCCCAGTGCCGCTCCCAGTGCTCCCAGTAACCCCCGGTGCCCTCCCAGTAACCCCCGGAGCCCTCCCAGTGCTCCCAGTGCCGCTCCCGGTGCCCTCCCAGTGCTCCCAGTAACCCCCGCAGCCCTCCCAGTACCTCCCAGCTCTCTCCCAGTCGCCCCCCCGTAGCTCCCAGTTCCCCCCAGTAACTCCCAGTACCCTCCCAGTAACTCCCAGTTCCCCCCAGTTCCCCCCCAGCTCTCTCCCAGTAACTCCCAGTCCCCCCAGCTCTCTCCCAGTTTCCCCCAGTAGCTCCCAGTGCCCCCCAGTTTCCCCCAGTAGCTCCCAGTGCCTCCCAGTTCCCCCCAGTTCTCTCCCAGTAACTCCCAGTTCCCCCCAGCTCTCTCCCAGTTTCCCCCAGTAGCTCCCAGTAACTCCCAGTTCCCCCCCAGCTCTCTCCCAGTGTCTCCCAGTCCCCCCAACTCTCTCCCAGTGTCTCCCAGTTCCCCCCAGCTCTCTCCCAGTTTCCCCCAGTTCCTCCCAGTATCTCCCAGTGTCTCCCAGTTCCCCCCAACTCTCTCCCAGCGCCTCCCAGTGCCTCCCAGTGCTCCCAGTTTGGGGCCATGTTCCTGGTGAAGGGGCTGCTGGGGGGCGGGGGCGGCGGGGAGGGGCGGGGGGGGCCCTCCCGGGGGGCATCGGCTCCGTCCTGGGGGGGCTCCTGAGCGGGGGAGGGGGCGGCGGCGCCGGGGGGGCCATGGGGGTCCTGGGGGGCGTCATCAGCGCCATCAGGTGAGGAGGGGACACCGGGGGGACATTGGGGGGATTGGGGGGATTGGGGACAATGGGGGGATTGGGGTCCTGGGGGGCGTCATCAGCGCCATCAGGTGAGGAGGGGACACCGGGGGGGACATTGGGGACAGTGGGGGGATTGGGGACATTGGGGACATTGGGGACATTGGGGGGGTTGGGGACATTGGGGACACTGGGGACATTGGGGGGATTGGGGACATTGGGGACATTGGGGGGTTGGGGACATTGGGGGCATTGGGGGGTTGGGGACATTGGGGACATTGGGGGGTTGGGGACATTGGGGGCATTGGGGGGCATTGGGGACAATGGGGGGCATTGGGGACAATGGGGGGATTGGGGGCATTGGGGGGACACTGGGGACATTGAGGGGACATTGGGGAGATTGAGGGGATTGGGGACATTGAGGGGCTTGGGGACATTGGAGACATTGGGGACACTGGGGGGATTGGGGGACATTGGGGACACTGGGGGGATTGGGGACAATGGGGGACATTGGGGGGATTGGGGACATTGGGGGCATTGGGGGGCATTGGGGACAATGGGGGGCATTGGGGACAATGGGGGGATTGGGGGCATTGGGGGGACACTGGGGACATTGAGGGGACATTGGGGAGATTGAGGGGATTGGGGACATTGAGGGGCTTGGGGACATTGGAGACATTGGGGACACTGGGGGGATTGGGGGACATTGGGGACACTGGGGGGATTGGGGACAATGGGGGACATTGGGGGGATTGGGGACATTGGGGAGATTGAGGGGATTGGGGACATTTGGGGGACATTGGGGGGGTTGGGGACAATGGGGGACAATGGGGGGATTGGGGACATTGGGGGTGATGGGGACATTGGGGGGACACTGAGGACATTGGGGGGATTGGGGGGTTGGGGACATTGGGGGGATTGGGGACATTGGGGGGGACATTGGGGTGATTGGGGACATTGTGGGGTGACACTTTAGGGATGGAGGTGACATTTTGGGGTGACCCTCTGTCCCCTCCCACAGCGAAGCCGCCGCCCACTACAACCCTGAGCCCCCTGTGAGTGACACCTGAGGCCCCGCCCCCTCCTTGGGACCCTCGGGGGTGGCCCCTGACCCCCCCCCCCCCCACCCCGGATTTGGGGTCCCCTCCCTGTTTCCCCCCCAGATTTGGGGTCCTTGACCCCCCCAAATTTGGGGTTCCCCGTTCCTCAGCCTCCCGGATTTTGGGTCCCAGATTTGGGGTCCCTGACTCCCCCCAGATTTGGGGTCTCAGATTTAGGGTCCCAGATTTGGGGTCCTGTGACCCCCAGAGATTTGGGGTTCCCCGTTCCTCATCCTCCCGGATTTGGGGTCACATTTTTGGGGTCTCCTGCCCCCCCCTGGATTTGGGGGTCCTGGATTTGGGGTCCCCTGACTCCTCCCATTTGGGGGTCCCCTGTCATCGTCCCCCCGCCCCCCTCCCAGATTTTGGGGGTCCCTGACCCCTCCCTGGATTTGGGGTCCCATTTTGGGGTCCCTGACCCCTCCCTGGATTTAGGGTCCCGGATTTGGGGTTCCCTGTCCCTTCCCCCCCAGATTTGGGGCCTCCTGTCACCCATTCCCCACTGGATTTGGGGTCCCGGATTTGGGGGTCCCTGACCCCTCTCTGGATTTGGGGTCCTGGATTTGGGGCTCCCTGTCCCTTCCCCCCCAGATTTGGGGTCTCCTGTCACCCATTCCCCATTGGATTTGGTGGTCCCATTTTGGGGTCCCTGACCCCTCTCTGGATTTTGGGGTCCCGGATTTGGGGGTCCCTGACCCCCCCCATCGTGCCCCCCAGCCCCCCCGTGCCCACATCTCCACGGTCGATGCCAACGAGAGCGAGGAGGTTCGGCAGTTCCGGCGCCTCTTCACCAGCTGGCCGGGGAGGTGAGCGGCGAAACGGGACCCGCCCGGATCCACTGGGATCCACTGGGATCTACTGGGGTCCACTGGGAGCCACTGGGGTCTACTGGGGGCACTGGGGGCCACTGGGAGCCACTGGGGGCACTGGGAGCCATTGGGGTCTATTGGGAGCCATTGGGGCCACTGGAGCCACTGGGGGCACTGGAATCCATTGGGGCACTGCGATCCACTGGGATCTACTGGGGCCTATTGGGAGCCACTGGGAGCCACTGGGGTCTACTGGGAGCCGCTGGGAGCCACTGGGGGCACTGGGAGCCACTGGGGTCTACTGGGATCCATTGGGGCACTGGGAGCCACTGGGTTCCACTGAGGGCACTGGGGTCCACTGGGTCTATTGGGATCTACTGGGAGCCACCAGGATCTATTGGGAGCCACTGGGAGCCACTGGGGTCTACTGGGATACATTGGGGGCACTTGGGGGCACTGGAATCCATTGGGGCACTGCGATCCACTGGATCTACTGGGGCCTATTGGGAGCCACTGGGATCCACTGGGTCTATTGGGAGCCACCGGGATCCACTGGGATCCGCTGGGAGCCACTGGGAGCCATTGGGGGCACTGGGAGCCACTGGGGTCTATTGGAGCCACCGGGATCCACTGGGATCCGCTGGGAGCCACTGGGAGCCATTGGGGGCACTGGGAGCCATTGGGGGCACTGGGAGCCACTGGGGTCTATTGGGAACCATTGGGGCACTGGGAGCCACTGGGGTCCATTGGGGCACTGGGGGCACTGGGGTCTATTGGGATCTACTGGGAGCCACCGGGGTCTATTGGGAGCCACTGGGATCCACTGGGGGCTCTGGGATCCATTGGGGGCACTGGGAGCCACTGGGGGCACTGTGATCCACTGGGATCTACTGGGGCCTATTGGGAGCCACTGGGATCCACTGGGGTCTATTGGATCCACTGGGGTCTACTGGGGCCACTGGGATCCACTGGGAGCTGCTGGGAGCCACTGGGGGCACTGGGAGCCATTGGGGCCACTGGAGCCACTGGGAGCCATTGGGGGCACTGGGGTCCACTGGGGTCTATTGGGATCAATTGGGAGCCACTGGGAGCCACTGGGAGCCAGTGCGGTCTATTCAAATCACTGGGATCTACTGGGGGCACTGGGATCCACTGGGAGCCGCTGGGAGCCACTGGGGGCACTGGGGTCTATTGGGAGCCACTGGGATCTACTGGGATCCGCTGGGAGCCACTGGGAGCCATTGGGGGCACTGGGAGCCACTGGGGTCTACTGAGATCTACTGGGGGCACTGGGATCTACTGGGGGCACTGGGATCCACTGGGGGCACTGGGGTCTACTGGGAGCCACTGGGGTCTGTTGGATCCATTGGGGCACTGGGAGCCACTGGGGTCTGTTGGGATCCATTGGGGCACTGGGAGCCACTGGGTTCCACTGAGGGCACTGGGATCCACTGGGATCTACTGGGAGCTACTGGGGTCTAATTCGGATCCATTGGGGGCACTGGGATCTACTGGGGTCTATTGGGGTCTATTGGGATCCATTGGGGCACTGGGATCCACTGGGGGCACTGGGGTCTACTGGGATCCATTGGGAGCCACTGGGGGCACTGGGATCTACTGGGGTCTACTGGGAGCCAATGGGGTCTATTCAGATCCACTGGGGGCACTGGGATCTACTGGGGGCACTGGGATCTACTGGGGTCTATTGGGATCCATTGTGGGCACTGGGGGCACTGGGAGCCACTGGGATCCACTGGGGTCTATTGGATCTACTGGGAGCCACTGGGATCCACCCGATCCCTTGGGACCTCTTGGTTGGGGTCAGGATTTTGGGGGTTCCCTGAAGATTTGGGGTTCCCTTGCATTTGGGGTCAGGATTTGGGGCTCCCTGAGCATTTGGGGTCAGAATTTTGGGTTGCCCAGGATTTGGTGTCCCCAGGATTTGGTGTCCCCCATGATTTGGGGTCAGGATTTTGGGGTTCCCTTGCATTTGGGGTCAGGATTTTGGGTCCCCCAGGATTTGGGGTTAGGATTTGGGGGTTCCCCCAGGATTTGAGGCTCCCCCTTGGATTTGGGGTCAGGATTTGGGTCTCCCCCATGATTTGGGGTCAGGATTTGGGGCTCCCCCATGATTTGGGGTCAGGATTTGGGGCTCCCCATGATTTGGGGTCAGGATTTGGGTCTCCCCCAGAATTTGGGGTCAGGATTTGGGTCTCCCCCAGAATTTGGGGTCAGGATTTGGGTCTCCCCCATGATTTGGGGTCAGAATTTTGGGGGTTCCCCCAGGATTTGGGTCTCCCCCATGATTTGGGGTCAGGATTTGGGGCTCCCCCATGATTTGGGGTCAGGATTTGGGGGCTCCCCATGATTTGGGGTCAGGATTTGGGTCTCCCCCCAGAATTTGGGGTCAGGATTTGGGGCTCCCCCAGAATTTGGGGTCAGGATTTTAGGGTCCCCTTGGATTTGGGGCTCCCCATGATTTGGGGTCAGGATTTTGGGGTTCCCCTTGCATTTGGGGTCCCCCCTGACCCCCGTTTCCCCCAGGACATGGAGGTGAGCCCCACCGAGCTCATGAACATCCTCAACAGGGTCGTCACCCGCCGTGAGTGCCCCCCAAAAAAACCGCCAAAAATCGGGGTTCAGGGCGGGGATTTGGGGCTCCCTGACACCCCTGAGGGGTCTCTGGGGCTCTCCAGAATTTGGGGACCCCCGAAATCCCCTCAGGACCCCCCAAAATCCCCCCCAGATCCCGACCTGAAGACGGACGGGTTCGGGCTGGACACGTGCCGGAGCATGGTGGCCGTCATGGACGTACCCCGAAATTTTGGGGCGATTTTGGGGATTTTTGGGGATTTTTTGGGATTCTTCAGGGGTTTTGGGGTGCAGGGAAATGGGGATGGGGTCCCTGACGCCCCCCAAAATGTCCTTGACGAGCCCCACCCCAGAGCGACACCACCGGGAAATTGGGGTTCGAGGAGTTCAAGTACCTCTGGAACAACATCAAGAAGTGGCAGGTGAGCACCCCAAAAGGTTATTTTTGGGGAGGGGGGGGTCCCAAAAATCGGGATGGGAACCCCAAAATTATGGGGGGGAGGTTGAAGTGGAATGGGAATCCCAAAATTGGGGGGCTCAGGGTGAAAGGGGACCCCAAAAATGGAGGGAGAAGGGAAAATTGGGGGCAATCCCAAAAAAATGAGCCCCAAAATTGAGGAAAACCCAAAATTTGGGATGGGAACCCCAAAATTATGGGGTGGGAGGTTGAAGTGGAATGGGATCCCGAAATTGGGGGGCTCAGGGTGAAAGGGGAGCCCAAAAATGGAGGAAAAAGGGAAAATTGGGGGCGATCCAAAATTGATGAGAAACCCAAAATTGAGGAAAAACCCAAAATTTGGGGTTGGAAACCCTAAAATTGGGATGGGAACCCCAAAATTCGGGATGGGAGCCCCAAAATTATGGGGAGGGAGGTTACAGTGGAATGGGATCCCAAAATTGGGGGGCTCAGGGTGAAAGGGGAGCCCAAAAATGGAGGGAAAAGGGAAAACTGGGGGCGATCCCAAAATTGAGGAGAACCCAAAATTGAGGAAAACCCAAAATTTTGGGGTTGGGAACCCTAAAATCGGGATGGGAACCCCAAAATTATGGGGAGGGAGGTTGAAGTGGAATGGGATCCCGAAATTGGGGTGCTCAGGGTGAAAGGGGAACCCCAAAAATGGAGGGAGAAGGGAAAATTTGGGGCGATCCCAAAATTGAGGAAAACCCAAAATTTGGGGTGGGAACCCCAAAAATCGAGATGGGAACCCCAAAATTTGGGATGGGAACCCCAAAAAATTATGGGGGGGGAGGTTGAAGTGGAATGGGATCCCAAAATTGGGGGGCTCAGGGTGAAAGGGGAGCCCAAAAATGGAGAGAAAAGGGAAAATTGGGGGCGATCCCAAAGAAATGAGCCCCAAAATTGAGGAAAAACCCAAAATTTTGGGGTGGGACCCCAAAATTTTTTTGGGTGAGGGTTCAATTAAGGGGGACGGACACCCTAAAATTTGGATTTAAGGATTTTAAACTCCCTTAAAAAGGGGCGAGGGGAGGATTTTGGGGGGTTTGGGAGGGTCCCCCAAATTCTGGGGAGGGGGTCCCAAATTTTGGGGGTTTTGGGATTAAAATAATCCCCTAAAAAATCCCAAAACTTCCCCAAAATTTTGGTTTTCCCCAGTGCGTGTACAAACAATTCGACACCGATCGCTCGGGGACCATCGGGCCCCAGGAGCTGCCCGGGGCCTTCGAGGCCGCAGGTTTGGGGTTTTTGGGGCTTTTTGGGGTTTTTTTGGGGATTTTTGGGGGATTTTGGGGGGTTTTTTGGGGATTTTTGGGGGGTTTTGGGGGGAGTTGAGGGATTTTTTGGGGGATTTTTTGGGATTTTGGGGAATTTTCAGGGGTTTTTTGGGGATTTTTTGGGGGATTTTTTGGGGGGTTTTAGGGGGGATTTTGGGAGAGATTTTTGAGGGGATTCATGGGGGTTTGGGGGGATTTTTAGGGGGATTTTTAGGGGGATTTTTGGGGGATTTTTGGGGGGGTTTTTGGGATTTTCAGGGGTTTTTGGCGATTTTTGGGGGGTTTTAGGGGGTTTTGGGGAGATTTTTTGGGATTTTTGGGGGGACTTTTTTGGGATTTTTTGGGGATTTTTAGGGGGATTTTTGGGGGGGTTTGAGGGGATTTTTGGGGGATTTTTGGGGATTTTGGGGAATTTGCAGGGGTTTTTGGGGATTTTTGGGGGGTTTTGGGGGGATTTTGGGGAGATTTTTTGGGATTTTTGGGGGGATTCATGGGGGGTTTGGGGGGATTTTTAGGGAGTTTTTGGGGGATTTTTAGGGGGATTTTTTTGGGATTTTGGGGAATTTTCAGGGGGTTTTGGGGATTTTTTTTGGGGATTTTTTTAGGGGGTTTTAGGGGGGTTTTAGGGGGATTTTTTGGGGGATTTTTTTGGGAGTTTTTGGGGGGTTTTGGGGGATTTTTTTATTTTTGGGGGGGAATTTTTTGGAATTTGGGGGGATTTTTAGGGGATTTTTTGGGGATTTTTTTGGATTTTGGGGAATTTTCAGGGGTTTTTGGGGATTTTTTGGGGGGTTTTGGGGGAGATTTTTTGGGGGGATTCATGGGGGGTTTGGGGAGATTTTTAGGGGGATTTTTGTGGGGGTTTGAGGGGATTTTTAGGGGGATTTTTTTGGGGGGATTTTTTGGGATTTTGGGGAATTTTCAGGGGTTTTTGGGGATTTTTTTGGGGGGTTTTGGGGGGATTTTTTTTTTATTTTTGGGGGGGATTCATGGGGGGTTTGAGGGGATTTTGGGAGGATTTTTGGGGGGGATTTTTTTGGGATTTTTTGGGAGTTTTGGGGGATCTTTGGGGAAGATTTTGGGGTTTTTTTTGTGGGGACTTTTTTGGGATTTGGGGGGATTTTTAGGGGAATTTTTGGGGGGATTTTTGGTGGGATTTGGGGGGGGATTTTTGGTGAGATTTTTATGGAGTATTTTTGGGGACTTTCAGAGATTTTTTAGGGTTTTTGGTGCATTTTTGATGCGGATTTTTTGGGGGATTATTCAGGGGTGGCCCCAAAATCCCCCAATTGGGGTGACCCCAAATCTCCCCAGAATTTGGGATTTTTTTGGGGTCTTTTGGAGGCCGTCAGGGACAATTTTCAGGGGCGTGTTTCAGTCATGAACATCGGGGGATTTTTAAGGCAAAAATGAGAATATTTCGATTTTTTGGGGGGGGTTTGAAGGCATTTTGGGGGGGTCAAAGGTCACCTGTGCCCCCCCCCCCCAGGGTTCCGGCTGCCCCCCCCCCTCTGGGCGGTTTTGGGGCGTCGCTATGGGGACGAGGGGGGGAACCTGGACTTCGACAACTTCATCAGCTGCCTCGTGCGCCTGGACGCCATGTTCCGTAAGGGAGCCCCGAATCGGGGGGAAAATGGGAAATTTGGGGGGGGAAATATGAAATTTTGGGAAAAAAATACGAAATTTGGGGGGGAAAATACGAAATTTGGGGGTGGAACCCCGAAATCTGGGGGGGGGGACCCCGAAATCTGGGGAAGAAAATATGAAATTTGGGGGGGGGGGGGGGGGAATATGAAATTTTGGGGGTGGGACCCTGAAATTTGGGGGGGAAATATGAAATTTGGGGTAAAAATATTAAATTCGTGGGGAAATATGAAATTTGGGGGAAAAATATGAAATTTGGGGGGCAAATATGAAATTTGGGGGGAGAAAATATTAAATTTGGGGGGAAATATGAAATTTGGGGAGGAAAAATGAAATTTGGGGGGGGAAATATGAAATTTGGGGGAAAATATGAAATTTGGGGGGGGTGGAAATATGAAATTTGGGGTGTGGGACCCCGAAATTTGGGGGGAAATATTAAATTCGTGGGGAAATATGAAATTGGGGGGGGGGGAATGAAATTTGGGGGGAAATATGAAATTTTGGGGGGGAAATATGAAATTTTGGGGGAAATATGAAATTTGGGGGGGGGGGAATATGAAATTTTGGGGGTGGGACCCTGAAATTTGGGGGGGAAATATGAAATTTGGGGGGGAAATATGAAATTTGGGGGAGAAAATATGAAATTTGGGGGGAAATACGAAATTTGGGGGGGGAAAATGAATTTTGGGGGTGGGACCCCGAAATTTGGGGGGGAAAATATGAAATTTGGGGGAAATACGAATTTGGGGGAGAAATCCTAAAATTTGGAGGGGAAAAATGAAATTTGGGGTGGGACCTCGAAATTTGGGGGGAAATATGAAATTTGGGGGGGAAAAATGAAGTTTGGGGTGGGACCCCGAAATTTGGGGGTGGGACCTCGAAATTTGGAGGGGAAATACGAAATTTTGGGGGGGAATATGAAATTTGGGGACAAAAATATGAAATTTGGGGAAAAAAATACGAAATTTGGGGGGGGAATATGAAATATGGAGGTGGGGACCCCGAAATTTTGGGGGGAAATATGAAATTGGGGGGGGGGAAATGAAATTTGGGGGGAAATTTGAAATTTGGGGAAGAAAATATGAAATTTGGGGGTGGGACCCCGAAATTTGGGGAGGGGACCCCAAAATTTGGGGGGAAAATACGAAATTTGGGGGGGAGAAGAATATGAAATTTGGGGGGGAAATACGAAATTTGGGGGTGGGACCCCGAAATTTGGGGAGAAAATATGAAATTTGGGGGGGGAAATATGAAATTCGTGGGGAAATATGAAATTTGGGGGGGGGGAATGAATTTGGGGGGAAATATGAAATTTGGGGGGGAAATATGAAATTTGGGGGGAAATATGAAATTTGGGGGGGGAAAAATGAAATTTGGGGGGAGGAATTGCAAAATTTGGGAAAAAAATGAAATTTCGGGGAGGGGGGGGAAATCCTAAAATTTATGGGGGAAATATGAAATTTGGGGGGTGGGACCCCGAAATTTGGGGAGGAAATATGAAATTTGGGGGGGGAAATATGAAATTCGTGGGGAAATATGAAATTTGGGGGGGGGGACCCCGAAATTTTGGGGAGAAAATATGAAATTTGGGGGTAAGTACGAAATTTGAGGCGGAAAATATGAAATTTGGGGGGGAAAATACGAAATTTTGGGGGGGAAATACGAAATTTGAGGGGGGGGGGAAATATGAAATTTGGGGAGGGGACCCCGAAATTTGGGGAGGGGACCCCAAAATTTGGGGGGAAATACGAAATTTGGGGGGGAAATATGAAATTGGGGGGGAGGAATTGCAAAATTGGGGGGGAAAAATGAAATTTCGGGGAGGGGGGGGAAATCCTAAAATTTGGGGGGAAATATGAAATTTGGGGGGAAATATGAAATTTGGGGGGGGATCCCGAAATTTGGGGAAGAAAATATGAAATTTGGGGGGAAAATATTAAACTTGGGGGGAAAATACGAAATTTGGGGGGGAAATATGAAATTTGGGGGGGGGAAATATGAAATTTGGGGGGAAAAATGAAATTTGGGGGGGAAATATGAAATTTGGGGGAAATATGAAATTTGGGGGGGAAATACGAAATTTGGGGGTGGAACCCCGAAATCTGGGGAAGAAAATATGAAATTTGGGGGTGGGACCCCGAAATTTGGGGGAAATATGAAATTAGGGGGTGGGAATTGCAAAATTGGGGGGAAAAATGAAATTTTGGGGAGGGGAGAAATCCTAAAATTTGGGGGAGAAATCCTAAAATTTGAGGGGGGGGAATATGAAATTTGGGGTCGAATTGCAAAATTTGGGAAAAAAATGAAATTTCGGAGAGGGGGGGAAATCCTAAAATTTGGGGGGGGAAAATATGGAATTTGGGAGGGGGGACCTCGAAATTTGGGGGGAAATATGAAATTTGGGGGGAGGAATTGCAAAATGTGGGAAAAAAGTGAAATTTCGGGGAGGGGGGAAATCCTAAAATTTGGGGGGAAATATGAAATTTGGGGGGGGGGAAATATGAAATTTTAGGGGAGAAATCCCCAAAATCGGGGATGAAACCCCAAAATCTTGTGGGAAAAAAAATCCCCAAAATCTTCAGGGGGGATAAAAAAAACCAAAAACCCCAAAATTGGATGAGAAATCCCAAAATTGGGAAATCCCAAACATTTGGAAGAGGGACCCCGAAAATGGAGGTGGGACCCCAAAAATGGAGGTGGGACCCCAAAACTGGGGGAAAACCCCAAAATCTCGGGGTTTTATTGGGGTTCCCCAGGGAGAGGAGCCCTGAATTTGGGGTCTCCGGATTTTTGGGGTCCCCCCCCTGATTTTTGGGGTCCCCCCCTGATTTTTGGGGTCCCCCCTGATTTTTGGGGTCCCCCAGGTGCCTTCAAGTCCCTGGACCGGGACGGGTCGGGGCAGATCCGCGTCAGCCTCCAGGAGGTGGGTCTGGGGTCCCGGGGGGGTTTTGGGGTTCCCCGAGGGGATTTTGGGGTTCCCCGAGGGGATTTTGGGGTCCCCCCGTGTTCGTTTTTGGGGTGTCCCCGGAATTTTGGGGGGGTTGAAGGAGGGAGAGCCCAAAATGGCCCTGCTGGTTTGAGTCACTGGAGAGACCCCAAAAGCCTCAGGGATCACCCCAAAAACGAACACGGGGGGACCCCAAACCCTTCAGGAACCCCCAAAATCTCCTGGCGGGACCCCAAATCCTTCAGGAACCACCAAAATCTCCCTGGGGTGACCCCAAACCCTTCAGGAACCACCAAAATCCCTCTGGGGTGACCCCAAAACCTCTTGGGAGCCCCAAAATCCCTCTGGGGTGGCCCCAAAATCTCCTGAGACCCCCAAAATCCCTCTGGGTGACCCCAAAATCTCCCTGCACCCCTCAAATCCCTCTGGGGTGACCCCAAACCCTCTTGGGACCCCCAAAATCCCTCAGGGATCACCCAAAATCTCCTGAGACCCCCAAAATCCCTCTGGGGTGATCCCAAACCCTCCTGAGACCCCCAAAATCCCTCAGGGATCACCCAAAATCTCCCTGGGGTGACCCCAAACCCTTCAGGAACCTCCGAAATCTCTCTGGGATCACCCCAAATCTCCTGCAGCCCCAAAATCCCTCTGGGGTGACCCCAAATCCTTCAGGGACTCCCAAAATCCCTCAGAGATCACCCAAAACCACCTCCCTGGGGTGGCTCCAACCCTTCAGGGACCCCCAAAATCCCTCAGGGATCTCCCAAAATCACTCTGGGATGACCCCAAAAATCTCCTGAGACCCCCAAAATCTCTCTGGGGTGATCCCAAACCCTTCAGGAACCCCCAAACCCCTTCTGGGGTGACCCCAAACCCTCCTGAGACCCCCAAAATCTCCCTAAGGTGATCCCAAAATCTCCTGAGACCCCCAAAATCCCTCTGGGGTGACTTCAAATCTTTCAGGGACCCCCAAATATCCCTCAGGGATCACCCAAAATCTCCCTGGGGTGACCCCAAACCCTTCAGGGACCCCCAAAATCCCTCTGAGGTGACCCCAAACCCCCTCTGGGGTGACCCCAAATCTTTCAGGAAACCCCCAAACCCCTTCTGGGGTGACCCCAAAACCTCTTGGGACCCCCAAAATCCCTCAGAGATCACCCAAAATCTCCCTGGGGTGACCCCAGAATCTCCTGGGGTGGCTCCAAACCCTTCAGGAACCTCCAAAATCCCTCAGAGATCACCCAAAATCCCTCTGGGATGACCCCAAACCCTTCAGGGACCCCCAAACCCCCTCTGGGGTGACCCCAAACCCTTCAGGGACCCCCAAAATCTCCTGGGGGGACCCCAAACCCTTCAGAGACCCCCAAAACCTCCCTGGGGTGACTTCAAATCTTTCAAGGACCCCCAAAATCCCTCAGGGACCCCCAAAATCTCCCTGGGGTGACCCCAAACCCTTCAGGGACCCCCAAATCCCCCAAATCCTGACCGGGTGTCCCCCCACAGTGGCTCCAGCTCACCATGTACTCGTGAGGGGACCCCCAGGGCCTTCCAGAACCTTCCAGGACACCCCAAAACCTCCTCGGACACTCCAGGACACCCCCAAAAACCTCCCTGGACCCCCCCCTACCCCACAACTGCACCCCCGGCCCCCCCCCAAAATCTGCACCCCAAATAAAAACCCCCCGAACCTCAATTGGATCTCTGGATCTGATTTGGGGGGATTTTGGGGGGTCTGGGGGGATTTGGGGGGTCTGGAGGGATTTGGGGGGGGCTGGGGCGATTTTTGGGGGGGTCTGGAGAGATTTGGGGGGGATCTGGGGGGATTTTTTGGGGGTCCTAGGATGATTTGAGGGAGGGGGGTTCTGAGACTTTGGGGGGGATCTGGGGGGATTTGGGGGGGTCTGGGCCGATTTTTGGGGGGTCCTGAAGGATTTTGGGGTGGGGTCTCTGAGGATTTTGGGGGGTGGTCTGAGAATTTGGGGGTCTGTGAGGATTTGGGGGGTCCTGAAGGATTTTGGGGTGGGTCTGTGAGGATTTTGGGGCGTCCTAAAGGATTTTGGGGGTCCTGAAGGATTTTGGGGTGGGGTCTCTGAGGATTTTGGGGGCGAATTCCCAGGACTGGAGGGGGTCCCGTGCTCAGCTCAGGGGTCCCGGTCCCGGTTCCGGTCTGGGGGTCCCGGTCCCGGTGGGGGGGTCCCGGTCGTGAAATGGGGGTCCCGGTCCTGGTTCCGGTCTGGGGGTCCCGGTTGCCGGTCGCGGAATGGGGGTCCCGGTTCCCTTATAGGGGTCCCGGTCTCGGTGTCCCGGTATGGGAGTCCCGGTCCCAGTCCCTGTCTGGGGGTCCCGGTCCCGGTCCCGGTCCTGGTCCTGCCGGGGGTCCCGTTCTGGGTGTCCCCACCCCTCCCTTGTCCCGGTGTCCCGGTCCCAATCCCGGTTTGGGTGTCCCGGTCCGGGTGTCCCGGTTCCGGTATATGAAACCCGGTCTCGGTCCTGCCGGGCGTCCCGGTCTGGGTGTCCCGGGTGTGCGTGTCCCGGTTCCGGTATGGGAGTCCCGGTCTGGGTGTCCCCATCCCTTCCTTGTCCCGGTGTCCCGGTCTGGGTGTCCCGGTCTGGGTGTCCCGGTCCCGGTGTGGGTGTCCCGGTTCCGGTATGGGAGTCTCGGTCCCGGTCCCGGTCTGGGTGTCCCCACCCCTCCCTTGTCCCGGTCTGGGTGTCCCGGTGTCCCGTTCTGGGTGTCCCGGTCCAGGTCTCAGTCCCGGTCTGGGTGTCCCGGTTCCGGTATGGGAGTCCCGGTCCCGGTGTCCCGTTCTGGGTGTCCCGGTCTGGGTGTCCTGGTCCCGGTGTCCCGGTCTGGGTGTCCCGTTCTGGGTGTCCCGGTCCCGGTCCCGGTCTGGGTGTCCCGGTCCCGGTATGGGAGTCTCGGTCCCGGTCCCGGTCTGGGTGTCCCGGTGTGCGTGTCCCGGTCCCGGTCTGGGTGTCCCGGTCTGGGTGTCCCGTTCTGGGTGTCCCGGTCCCGGTATCCCGGTCTGGGTGTCCTGGTCTGCGTGTCCCAGTCCCGGTCCCGGTCTGGGTGTCCCGGTCTGGGTGTCCCGGTCCCGGTTCCGGTCTGGGTGTCCCGGTCCCGGTCCCGGTCCCGGTTGTCCCGGTCTGGGTGTCCCCACCCCTCCCTTGTCCCGGTATGGGTGTCTCGGTCCCAGTCCCGGTGTCCCGGTCTGGGTGTCCCGGTTCCGGTCTGGGTGTCCCGGTCCCGGTGTCCCGGTCTGGGTGTCCCGTTCTGGGTGTCCCGGTCCCGGTCCCGGTCCCGGTCCCGGTGTCCCGTTCCGGGTGTCCCCACCCCTCCCTCCCTCCCCCCCCCGCCGTTCCCCCCGGTGCCGGGGGCGGGTACCGGGCCCCATGGGGGGAGGTGCCCGCGGGCGCGCCCGGCCCCGGTGCCCGGGTGGCGGCGGCGGCGGAGCCTCCCCGGTGCGGGCCGGGCGATGGCGGCGCCCCCGGGGCGGCGGGAGCGGCTGCGGGCGCTGGCGCTGGGCCGGGGGGCGCTGGGGCTCGAGACCCTCCTGGATTTGCTGCTGGGGCTGGCGGGGGGGCTCCGGCACCGCCTCAACCACCGGGACCCCCCCCGCCGCACCGGCGACACCGCCGGGGGCAGCGCCGGCCACAACGGCGACAGCGGCGGCGACAGCGGCGACAGCGGCGACAGCGACAGCGACAGCGACAGACACGTCCGGGACTTTCTGAGCTGGGGTAAGGCGGGGAACCGGGAACGGGAACGGAACGGGAACGGGAGCGGAACGGGGGGGTCCCGATCGGGCTGGGGGGGGCACCGGGAACGGGAATCGGGACTGGGGGGGCACCGGGAACGGGAACGGGAACGGGAGCGGGAACGGGGGGGTCCTGATCGGGCTGGGGGGGGCACCGGGGACAGGACCGGGACGGGGGCACCGGGAACGGGAACGGGAACGGGAACGGGAGCGGAACGGGGGGGTCCCGATCGGACTGGGGGGCACCGGGAACGGGAACGGGACCGGGACGGGGGCACGGACTGGGGGGTTCGGGACCGGTACGGGGGGGTCCTGATCGGACCGGGAGGGCACCGGTACCGGGGGGGCACCGGGAACGGGCCGGGAACGGGACCGGTACGGGGGGGGGTCCCGATCGGACCGGGAGGGCACCGGTACCGGGGGGGCACCGGCACCGGGACGGGAACGGGGGCACGGACTGGGGGAGTTCGGGACCGGGACCGGAGCTTGGACTGGGGGGATCGGAACCGGGGGAGTCCCGGACCGGGACGGGGGGGTCCGGATCGGGCTGGGGGGCACCGGGACCGGAACGGGGGCTCGGATTGGGGGGTTCGGGACCGGGAACAGGGGGGGGATTCGGGACTGGAGGCACCGGGACCGGGACCGGACGGGATTGGAATGGAATGGAGGGAGTTCGGACTGGGGGGGTCCGGGCTGGGGGGCACCGGAACGGGACCGGGAACAGGAGGGCGGTTCCGGGTATGGGACCGGGAGCGGGACGGCACCGGGGGCTCGGATTGGGGGGTCCGGGACCGAGAACGGGGGTCCGGGACTGGGGGGGTTCGGGACCGAGAGTCCGAAACCGGGACCGGGGAGAGGGGGGGGGGGGGGGGGTCCAGATTTGGGGGTCCGGGACCGGGGGGGTTCGGGACTGGGGGTTCCGGCACCGGGGACCGCGACCGGGCCTGGGAGTTCCGGGACCGGGAGGTTCGGGATTGGGGGATCCGAGACCAGGAATTTCGGGATTGGGGGGTCCGGAACCGGCGGTGTTCGGAACCGGGGGTGTCCGGGCTCGGGGGGGTTCGGAACCGGGGCTCGGGGGGGTTCGGAACCGGCTCGGGGGGCTTGGAACGGGCTCGGAGGGTTCGGAACGGCCCTGGGGTTCGGAACCGGCTCGGGGGGCTTGGAACGGGCTCGGGGGGGTTCGGAACCGGCTCGGACGGTTCGGAACCGGCTCAGGGGGGTTTCGGAACCGGCCCTGGGGTTCGGAACCGGCCCTGGGGTTCGGAACCGGCTCGGGGGAGTTCGGAACCGGCCCTGGGGTTCGGAACCGGCTCGGGGGGGTTCGGAACGGGGCTCGGGGGTGTCCCGGGGCTGGGAGAACCGGGACCGTTCGGGCCAGCAGGGCCCGGGCCTCCGGTTCGGGGCGGGGTTCGGGGTCCGGGGTCCGGTACCGGCGGGGGGAGGCGGCGACACCTGCGGGGCCCCCCCCGAACCTCGGGGTCATTTTGGGGGGGGGTTCCGAACTTCGGGGTTATTTTGGGGGGGGGGTCCCGATGTCGGGGTCCCTTTTTGGGGGGGGGGGGTCCCGATGTCGGGGTCCCTTTTGGGGGGGTCCCGGCCGCCCCGGGGGGGTTGGGGGTTGGGGTGGGGGGGGGGCCCGGCGGCTCCGCTCCTTTTCTGGGCACGGCGGGCCCGGTTCCCCCCCCCCCCGCCCGGCGCGGGCGGCGATCGCTGCGCGGCCATAAATGGGCTGAGGGTGCGCGGCCAAACCCCCCCCCCCCCAAAAAAAAAAAAAAAAAAAAAAAAAATTAATTAATTATTCACTGGGATTCTCTCTCCGATTCCCCCCCCCCCTCCTCCACCGAAAAAAAATTTCGTTAGGATTCACCCTCCGAGCCCCCCCCCCAAAAATTCCCTCTCTTCAAACCCCCCCCCCCAGCAATGTTCCCTGGGATTTTCCCTCCGAGACCCCCCCCCTTAAAAAAAAAATTCCCCCCATTTTCTCTCCAACCCCCTCCCCCCCCAAAAAAAAAAAATTAAAAAATTCGCTGGGATTCTCCCTGCGAGCCCTGGTTCCCCCCTGACCCGGTTCTGGTTCCCCCCTGACCCGGTTCCGGTTCCCCTGACCCGGTTCTGGTTCCCCTGACCCGGTTCTGGTCCCGGTTCTGGTCCCGGTTCTGGTTCCCCCCTGACCCGGTTCTCGTTCTGGTTCCCCCCTGACCCGGTTCTCGTTCTGGTTCCCCCCGACCCGGTTCTGGTTCTGGTTCCCCTGACCCGGTTCTGGTTCTGGTCCGGTTCTGGTTCCCCTGACCCATTCCTGGTTCTGGTTCTGGTTCCCCTGACCCGGTTCTGGTCCCGGTTCTGGTCCCGGTTCTGGTCCCGGTTCCGCCCTGACCCGGTTCTGGTTCTGGTTCCCTTCACCTGGTTCTGGTCCCAGTTCTTGTTCTGGTTCCCCTGACCCGGTTCTGGTCCCGGTTCTGGTTCTGGTTCTGGTTCCCCTGACCCATTCCTGGTTCTGGTTCTGGTTCCCCTGACCCGGTTCTGGTCCCGGTTTTGGTTCCCCTGACCCGGTTCTGGTTCTGGTCCCGGTTCTGGTTCCCCCCGATCCGTTCCTGGTTCTGGTTCTGGTTCCCCTGACCCGGTTCTGGTTCTGGTTCCCCTGACCCGGTTCTGGTCCCGGTTCTGGTCCCGGTTCTGGTTCCCCCTGACCCGGTTCTGGTTCTGGTTCCCCCGACCCGTTCCTGGTTCTGGTTCTGGTCCCGGTTCTGGTTCCCCTGACCCGGTTCTGGTTCTGGTTCCCCCTGACCCGGTTCTGGTCCCGGTTCTGGTTCCCCCTGACCCATTCCTGGTTCTGGTCCCCCTGACCCGTTCCCGGTTCTGGTTCTGGTTCCCCTGACCCGGTTCTGGTTCCGGTTCCGGTTCTGGTTCTGGTTCCCCTGACCCGGTTCTGGTCCCGGTTCTGGTTCTGGTTCCCCTGACCGGTTCCTGGTTCTGGTTCTGGTTCCCTGACCCGTTCCTGGTTCTGGTTCCCCTGACCCAGTTCCGGTTCCGGTTCTGGTTCTGGTCCCGGTTCTGGTTCCCCTGACCCGGTTCTGGTTCTGGTCCCGGTTCTGGTTCCCCTGACCTGGTTCTGGTTCCGGTTCTGGTTCCGGTTCCCCTGACCCGGTTCCGGTTCCGGTTCTGGTTCCCCCTGACCCGGTTCCGTTCCCGGTTCCGGTTCTGGTTCCCCTGACCCGGTTCCGGTTTCCGGTTCTGGTTCCCCCCAGCTGAGCCCGCGGCCGCGCAGGTCCAGGAGCTGCAGCTGCAGCGCGGAGACTTCGAGATCCTGAAAGTGATCGGGAGAGGCGCCTTCAGCGAGGTCAGGGACACCATGGGGACACCGAGGGGACACCACAGGGGACACTGGGGGGTGGCACTGAGATCCTGAAAGTGATCGGGAGAGGCGCCTTCAGCGAGGTCAGGGACACCGAGGGGACATTGGGGACACCGAGGGGACATTGGGGACACCATGGGGACACTGGGGGACATTGGGGGGACATTGGGGGGTGGCACCGAGATCCTGAAAGTGATCGGGAGAGGCGCCTTCAGCGAGGTCAGGGGACACTGAGGGGACATTGGGGACACCATGGGGACATTGGGGACACTGGGGGACACCAGGGGGTGGCACCAAGATCCTGAAAGTGATCGGGAGAGGCGCCTTCAGCGAGGTCAGGGACACTGAGGGGACACTGGGGACACCATGGGGACATTGGGGGGACATTGGGGACATTGGGGACACCGAGGGGACACTGGGGACACCGAGGGGACACTGGGGACACTGGGACACTGGGGAGGGCATTGGGGGGTGGCACCGAGATCCTCAAAGTGATCGGGAGAGGCGCCTTCAGCGAGGTCAGGGGCACCAGGGGGACACTGGGGACACTGAGGGGACACTGGGGACACCGAGGGGACACCACGGGGACACCGGGGACACCAGGGGGGGGACAGGGGGGTGGCACCGAGCCCCGGTGACGCCCCTGTCCCCTCCCTCCCCTGCAGGTGGCCGTGGTGAGGATGAGGGAGACGGGGCAGATCTACGCCATGAAGATCATGAACAAGTGGGACATGCTGCGCCGCGGAGAGGTGGGGACACCTGGGGACACACCTGGGGACACCTGGGGACACACCTGGGGACACAGAGGGGGACACGCCAGGGGACAGCTGGGGACATGTGAGGACACGCAGGGCCGCGGGCGGGATAACTGGGGACAGTTGTTGGGGACACTGGGGGGGGACACACAAGGACACTTGGGGACAGTTGGGGGCACAGGGGACACTGGGGGGGACACTCGGGGACATGCAGGGGACACGCGGGGGATGTGTGGGGACACTTGGGGACGCTCAGGGGACATTTGGGGACAGTCAGGGGACACAGTTGGGGACAGTTGAGGGACACGTCACGACACCTGAGGGCCACCGGGGACAGCGGCGGCAGGCGCACAGGTGGCAGCGGTGTTGCTGTCACTGTCCCTGTCCCCAGGTGTCCCAGGTGTCCCAGTCCCCAGGTGTCCCAGGTGTCCCCCAGGTGTCCCCAGGTGTCCCCAGTGTCCCTGTCCCTGTCCCCAGGTGTCCCTGTCCCCAGGTGTCCCCAGTGTCCCTGTCCCCAGGTGTCCCAGGTGTCCCCAGTGTCCCTGTCCCTGTCCCCAGGTCTCGTGTTTCCGTGAGGAGCGGGATGTGCTGGCCCGCGGGGACCGGCGCTGGATCACGCGGCTGCACTTCGCCTTCCAGGACCCGCAGTGCCTGGTCAGGGACAGACCTGTGTCACCTTCATGTCACCCGTGTGTCACCCGCGTGTCACCCGTGTGTCACCTGTGTGTCACCTGTGTGTCACCCGTATCACCCGCGTGTCACCTGTGTGTCACCTGTATCACCTCCGTGTCACCCATGTGTCACCGTGTGTCACCTCTGTGTCACCTGTATCACCTGTGTCACTTCTGTGTCACCTGTGTCACTTCTGTGTCACCTGTGTCACCTCCGTGTCACCTCTGTGTCACCTGTCAGCTGTGTCCCGTCCATGTCACCTCTGTGTCACCCCGCATGTCACCTGTGCCACCTCCATTTCCCCATGTCCCCATCCCCATCCCCATATCCCCAATGTCCCCATGTCCCTGTGTCCCTGTGCTGTCCCCAAGCTGTCCCATGTCCCCAGTGTCCCCAGTGTCCCCCATGTCCCCCATGTCCCCAATGTCCCTGTGGTGTCCCCAATGTCCCCAATGTCCCCGCAGTACCTGGTCATGGAGTACTACATTGTCCCCATGTCCCCATGTCCCTGTGGTGTCCCCAGTGTCCCCCATGTCCCCGTGGTGTCCCCAATGTCCCCAATGTCCCCACAGTACCTGGTCATGGAGTACTACATTGTCCCATGTCCCCATGTCCCTGTGGTGTTCCCGTGTCCCCCATGTCCCCCATGTCCCCGTGGTGTCCCCAATGTCCCCGATGTCCCCGCAGTACCTGGTCATGGAGTACTACATTGTCCCATGTCCCCATGTCCCTGTGATGTCCCCGTGGTGTCCCTGTGGTGTCCCCAATGTCCCCGATGTCCCCGCAGTACCTGGTCATGGAGTACTACATCGGCGGGGACCTCCTGACGCTGCTCAGCAAGTTTGGGGACCGGCTGCCGCTGGCCATGGCCCGGTTCTACCTGGCCGAGCTGGTGATGGCCATCGACTCCGTGCACCGCCTGGGCTACGTGCACCGGTGGGACATTGGGGACATTGGGGACATTGGGGACACTGGGGACATTGGGGACACTGGGGATATTGGGGACATTGGGGACCCGGGACACTGGGGGGATTGGGGACACTGGGGACATGGCCATTGACTCCGTGCACCGCCTGGGCTACGTGCACCGGTGGGACACCAAGGGGACATTGGGGGGGACATTGGGGACATTGGGACATTGGGGGCATTGGGGACACTGGGGACATGGCCATCGACTCCGTGCACCGCCTGGGCTACGTGCACCGGTGGGACATTGGGGACACTGGGGGGACATTGGGGACATTGGGGACACTGGGGACATTGGGGACATTGGGGACATTGGGGACATGGCCATCGACTCCGTGCACCACCTGGGCTACGTGCACCGGTGGGACACCGAGGGGACATTGGGGGGACACTGGGGACACTGGGGACATTGGGAACATTGGGGACATTGGGGGATTGGGGACACTGGGGCAATTGGGGACACTGGGGCCATTGGGGGAACATGGGGAATGGGGACATGGACACCGGGAGAACTGGGGGGATATGGGGACAAGGGGATGTGGGGACACTTGGGGACACGGGAAGGACATTGAGGGACATGGAGGGACATGGAGGGGTGGATTTTGAGGAGGGGGGGAGGTGACAAAGGCCACCCCCACCCAGGGACATCAAACCTGACAACATCCTGCTGGACCGCTGGGGACACATCCGGCTTGGGGACTTCGGGTCCTGCCTGCGCCTGGGGGCCCGATGGCACCGTGAGTGACACCGGGGACACGGGGGGGACACGGGAGGGGACACGGGGGGGACAACGGGGGGGACACAAGAGAGGGACACAGAGCTCAACCCTATGAGCACCTGGAGAATTGCCCTGGCCCCAGCCCAATGTCCCCAATGTCCCCAGTGTCCCCAATGTCCCCAATATCCCAAATGCCTCC